GTCATCTTCATACTTTCAAATAATTTTAACAAAATGTGTAAACCACATTTTCGTTATTATCGCTTATAATAAATAGTAGGTCAAATTTGAAAACACGCCAAAATGTAAATTCGCGTATACCTTAGGAAATTTTGAATAAAAAACTCTAATTTTTTGCAGGTATGCTTAGAAATACATCTTTCTTTAAGATGATGGCAAAACTTTTATAAGTTATAATTCAAAATGTTTTTCGAAAAATTTATAAAAATTATTTAAAAATACAAATTTGAAACATAAATCATAAAAAATAGGCGTATTTTATTAGGAATGCGCTTAGATTTCGAAATATGAAAGGAAGAATGAAATAAGTTTAATTAAAAAATAGATATTAATAAATATATATCCAATTCAAGTACCATTGAGAAGATAATTTTTTAAAACGTACTCGTGCGATTTTTCACAAAACTTGGCAGTTTGGCATAATTTGAGTCGTAGAATAGAAATATGGAAAAACATTGGCATGTCATTTCAGAAAAAAGTCCGATTTCGTGTCAAAATACCTATATTAGAACAATGCTATATATAAATATAATACATATACAAAGTCGCGCTTTCAAGATATGAAAAACGCAAGTTGAATTTTGTCAATGGGCCCGCTAGAACGGAAGATATAAGGACTGTCCTTTTTTTTTTTTTTTTTTTTTTTCCTTTGTGTAGTGTACTTTATCCCATTCCTCTTCTTAAACCGCTTTCCAAAGCCCTAGGAGGCTTGTATGTCGAAGTTTGGACAATCCGATTTTAAAAGACTAAAAGCACAAAAATCCATAGGTAAAGCTAAGGTATTTCATATGTGAAAACTGGGTATAAAATATATTTCCGATTAGAGTTGATCTTAACATGTTTCTCCATTGTCTTTATTTTTAATTTGTCGCTCTATTAAAAACCAGCTCCAATCATAAGTTCTCCTTGAAAAACTTTCTTTAAATTCCTTGAACCATGTTTTAAGATTTGTTTTCCTCTTTGATGATAACAAATAGATCTCTTTTTATTGCTGTCATTTAAGTACATCAAGAGTCATCTATTGTGATAAAAGTTTTCCATTTTTCTGCCGATAAATGTTTCTCATAAAAGATTCTGCAGCGAGTTCTATGTTCGGTGATATGTCGTGGGGAAAGACGATGCACATTATGTATTTTCGCTTTTTTAAGATTCAAATTAGCATGAATCATTTCGTTTACAGTTGTCACCGAGCATATTAATGATTTTGGAATTGTCCTCCGACTTGGTGTATTTTCTTTTAGCAATACCTCACCTTTGCAACATTCTTTTAGCAATAACTCACCTTTGCAACATTCTTTTAGCAATACCTAACCTTTGCAACATTCTTTTAGCAAGATCTTACTTTTGCAACATTCGAAATATTCCGCTTTTTTTTCTTTGGATTTATATCTGGAATAACTCTTCCACTTGAAGCCAAACTTTGACGTTTGTTTCCTTCCTTGTTGACAATATTATTACCTATCGCAGCTTTAGATATCGAAAGGCCATGGCTTTCACAGCGTTTTTTAATACGAATGTTTCTTCGGAAACAGCACAAACATAGCCTTTCATCCATTGCTTCTTTTCATTTGTTGAAATGGGAGTGGCCTGTCATGACCATAAGACCAACTTGTTTGGTTAGGCGGGTCGGGCTGCGCCAGCTAATACTGATCCATTGCTTCTTTAAAAGCGTCATTTTGCATGAAAACAAAAGTGTCAAATAGCAGACGATAATTTATACTTTCAAAAACATAGCCGCAGTTAAAAAACAAATTCTAAGCAGACGATCGTTTTGCAAAACAAAATCATCTAAAAAATGTGCGAACAGCCAACACATTAGCGTTAAACAAATACAAAACAAAGACTTACAACACGACATTAATTTTTTTTCTCGTACATATTAACACTGTAATTAAAATATATATTTAGAAGAATAAAATTATACATTTTACTCCTTTAAAAAGAAAATTAGTCTTAAAATAGAATAAAAAATATTTTCATTCACGTATCCATTGGGAGAGAAGGTGAATGAATTCCGGATTAATCCTTCTCAATCTGGAGTCGGTGAACGAATTTTATTGCAGGCTATTAACAAGATTTGGAAAATTCCCGAAAGACGTAATTTATAGCTACGGTCATTCAACTTGCTTTCAGCGATGGATGCTTTTAAAGTGCAATCACTTCTTTATTTGATTTACTTACTCCGCGCCCTTTCGAGTGAGATTACTAGATGTTTAAAGAGACTTAAGTTAAACGAGAATGAATTTTGACATTTTATTAAAATAATTTCAGGCTTTCGTTAAAGGTTATTTGCACTGACATGCATAAAAAGAGAGATCACTGACCTCTAAGAAACGTAGTTTTAAGTTTAAAACATAAGGTAACATTATTAGGCGTTTTATAACACGCTAATTGTGATCGCATTTGGGATTAATTTTCTATAATTTATTTTTTATACAATTTCGTAACTTTTTCATAAAATTATTTATTTTTAATAATTTTATGCTTAATTTGTTTGAGATTAATTTTTTAATTGTTTGAGATTAACTCTCTGTCTAATGTTTATATAGTGTATATGTTATAGTTAAAAAGAATAATTCAGTTATTTCATACAATCACTAGTTTATAAAGTGTTTCTTTTCATAAAATAAATTTTATAAAGTTATAATAGGTTCTGTGTGCATTGAACTCATTACGAACGAAGCAATAATAATAATAATAAATAAAAAAATAAAACATACTCTATGAAAGATGTATTATAGTATATTCCGTAACTGCAAAGGATACAGTTCACTATATTTATACGACAAATTTTGAGAAAAAAATACTGTTACCAAACAAACCATTAGTTTTGAATTCTGTGATTCATCTGTATATTTAGTGATTTGTGTAATAACGACTTACTCTGTTGACTCCCTATTTTACGTAAAAACCAAAACAAAAATGTTCTTAATGTCGGAAGCAAGCAACAGCATTAGCATTAAAAGAAATCAAAAATGATTTTAACCAAAGTGATAGTCCGCAAAACCATGTAGTTCATAAATTAGTGTTTTGCAAATGTAAGCCTACTTTAACTCGAAAACATGGAGGATACATTACGTATTGATGCACATGTCTACCATTAAATCTCAATAACAGATCTTTTTCAGTTATTTATAATTAACAGATGGCTCTCTTTCCTAGTCTATGTGTACTTTTATACATTGAAGAGGCAGAAAAATTGTTATAGATATTCCCATTCAGAATAGGAAACTCACTCCATTTCTCATAAATGATTTTAAACTATGGCAGTTGATATATAACAGTAGATGTCTGTGAGCGCTTAAAGGACTCTGACCAGTGAAAGTGTCAAGTAATTGCGATTTACAAGATTATCATTGAGGTATGGTAATAGGTCCTTGCCAAATGGGTAGCAGGGCCTCGTGAAACGGGTCACAGTATTTTCACCTCCAGCTCAATTCAAGGCAAGATTCAAAATACAAGAATTCCAGTAAAACATTGACTATTAAGGCTATTTCAATGCTTGAGCCCGCTGAGCATATGTTCGCGGATCCTACGAGCATAGGGGCTCCATGCTAATCCATTTTCATTCCATTAACATTTATGCCTGTGAGTGGGTATCGTAGGGACCTGGACAGGAATTTGTCCAAGGACAGTAGGGTCCCGGATAGTGGGCAATGGCCCATAATGCTCTTTAGGCGGCACTGCCGAAAATAGGCAACTGTGTAGAAACCGAAACTCTCTGAACAATAAGAGTCCTTTTCCAAGAATTATTTTGATACCAAATGTAGAACACTACCGGCAAACATCACGAAATTTAAACGTTATAATATGTTCTAAAATCAGCATGAAAATTATGCAGTATTCCCTGCTTGATGTGGCCTTAACTGCGGAAGACACTTGCACTTGAGAGAACCAGAGTTCCTAGAACACTAGAAGATAGTGACTTGGTCTAACCATGTTAAGAAGGAGGAATGGGAAAGGTACTAAAGTCGTAATTTATCACTGTAAGAAGAAGTGGAGCAGAAAACGAAAATGGAGTAGCTGCTAGCAATCCTTGTTTTAGGATTGATTGAAGTCTTCTCGCTGGTAAACTTTCCTTCTCCTATCACTTTTATCAGCCCAGTGAGACTTTCGTACATATATCCATGATGGGAATACGCACTTTGCGCTCTGCAAGTCAAACCTATCTGTAATTGTAATTTACCTATGTATAATAACCAACTGCATAAGTATAGCTTTGATAGCTCTTATCTTTCACATCATCAACGTTTTAATGAGTAGTTTTATATACATATATATAGTGAGAGAGAGAAATATTGGGTCACTTTCATGTATTATTCTTGTTAATATAAAAGATTCTTTCATTTTTATAAATATGTCCCATTTTGGGGTATATACATATAGATAGATAGATAGATAGATGTAACCAAAAGTAAAGAGATCATATTCTTCACTCTTTAATTTTGGTTTTGACTTTTACCCTTGCCTGCATGAATGACGAAACACGAATTGAATGATTGGAGAGTTAGATTTGGAAGCAACTTCCGCTTGATAAGTCTGTCTCCTGCCTGCTCAACAGTCATTCACTTATGCATTTTTAAAAAATTTTTTAGATTAATTTTAATTTACTAAATAGGTGAATTTTATTTTCATGGTTTGGTTTTGCACTTGATTTACTTATGCTATCTGAATTTAAATGATATTGTAGATTAGTTCGAAAATTAAATCTTTTATATGTTTGCACATTTTTTAATTATTTTAACTTTAAATTTGCTTTTTTACGTATATACTTGTTTGTTAAAATTTAAATTTGTTTAAATTTATATAGATAGATAGATAGATAGATATAAGTTTTTTTATTTTAGTGAGGGTTAACTTGTGTTGTAGACTAGAAAGAATTTTTTATTTCTCTCCATTCATGAAATAATTACAGAAGTGTTTAAAAACAATTTTTGTAACAATATATAACACAAACTTACCGCAGCTCCGCTAGTTATGTGAACAGGCGCTTTAGGGTTTCTGTATGGATCAGAGAAACTACCATTATATACCTGAAAATGTAAATGACGCAAAAATCTCTCAGAATCTTTCACCCTTAGTCAACATTACAATATGTTATCACAATATCAGGACTAGCATTCATAATTTGAAACGATGTCATTAAACATCAAGAAATTTACCTGTCCATCGTACGTAGGGAATAATCTCTCATAGCAGTGGTTGTGTCCCCAGAACGCAACATCTACACCATGTTCATATAGCAATTTTTCCAAGCCATAGTTACGAAGTAGACCAACTCTTACCTAAATAAAAATTGCGGCATTAAATTACTGTTCATTACTATAAAACGAAATTAAGAAGTTGGAGTATTTACTTAATTTTATGTATATGGAATTAAAAGGTAACAGACTTCAGGGGATTCCAACGAGGTGGGTGCTGAGCCCCTGAGGGTCGATGACATTTTATAGGTTCAATGATGATTTAGGGCTCCAAAGCCGAATATGCACCAGCAAGCGATCGGCTTAATTAAGATCTCATTGATTACACAAAAGCATTGGTATGCTAAGTTCTGAATCTAAATGTTATCGGAGAGAAATACCCCATAATAAAAAATGTTGCCGAGCCAATATTATGTTGCCGAGTGTTGGTTCCAGAACAGAAAGTGTTGCCGAATGTTGTTTGATTCCAGAACAAACGATGTTGCCGAACCAACATTATTGGCCTTTTTTTTTTTTCTTTTTCTTTCTTCTTACACAGCGAAAGTAGGCTTCAGTCTAATGAATAATTTACTACGGAAAACAACTGAACGAGATGATTTAAGAATTGATTTAAGCTCTTTTATGTCAAATACTTAAAACAAATTCATCCATAGGAAGCGCGGTTATCGCATAATAGAACTTTCATGCACTTAGATTTTTATTTCTGGAAACTTGTTTATAACTGTAAAATTTATAGTAATAATAATGATAACAAATAAATAAATAAATAAAACTTAAATTTAGTAAACAATTTTTTAAAACTTCCATTCATATTCTTAGTCTAGTTGTTATCTTTAAGTTATTTACGTGCAGTTACTAGCATTATGATTATGTTTGTACGCTGTATATAGTAGAGACAAATATAAGGAAATCGATGATGAAAACAATTCTTTTAAAAGAAAAATTTTCATTTTTTCCATAATAAACTGATGCATGTGAAATTTTAACAGGTATGTTTGAGAGGACGTGTGTTGGTCGTATCGTGCGTTTACAAAACATGCACAAAACTACAAATAACATACACATACATAAACTTAAACATTTACTAAGAAATAATAAACAACGTTTCAAATGAAATTTTGTACCCATTCATTTCAAAACACTGAAACTCACTTATATGTTTCCTAGTAAACTTTTTAAAACAATGTAATAAGTAAAAAAATTTAAATTAGATTTGCTATTTCAAAATTAAGATTGGCAAGTTAGGCTGCTAAATTTTTTTCGAGAAGATATAATTAAGGTTATTGCTTCAATAGCATGTGAACAAGGCAATCAAGAAGCAACAATAAAATGGCAATAAGTCAAAGCTTTTGATACCTATTGTTCGTCTCAAGCGTAAGGAGCTGCATATTAATATAAAAAGCTGTAAGAGCGCCGAAATGTGGTACGTTGTTTGCAACTATTGATATAGAACATTAACTACAGTTCAACAAATATTCTTATGAAATAAACTAATTCATAAGCCTTTCCTTTATTGATATGTATATTTGTGTTTATTTTATGACATATTTTCAAAAGCGAAACTGCATTACTCTTACAAGAATCCAACATCAGCTACGCATCAATTGTTAGCTAATTACAAAACTTGCACATAGCTCGAAAATTAGACATTTTGCGGTCATTTAATTGGAATATTCATTTGAATATAAGCAAGGACATTCAGAAAACTCTCATTATTCATTTTTGAGTACATTCGCATTTTCACTATTCCTCATTGAATGCAAATTAAGACGTTTCCTATTTCAGCCAGAATGTGAGAAATTAACTGCTATGCACATTACTTTCGTATTCTCATAAAATTAATTGACACGGAAAGGATTTTATATATTTTGTTACAGTTTCAAAACATATTGAATAGTAGTTTTGCCTTAAAGTATTAATCTTCATCTTAAGAATTAACCTTCATGTAATGTTATTTAATTGATTTATTCTTGAAACTTGAAATATGGAGGTAACGTTCATTTTTTAGGGGGGTGGAAAAACACCATGAAGGAAATGACTGTTTTATTGAATTTAGAGATGTGTGATTCTCACGCGCAGGTGATGAAATGATTAACATTGAAAGCTATAGGACACATCACTGGCTAGAAATTGCCCATTAAATAATTCAGATCAGAAATTGGTGAAATCTTCCCTCCGTGGCGACGATGTTCGCTTATAAACGTTGAGGTAAGGAGTGATAAAGAATTCTAATCTCATCCTGCAATACATTCTGCTTGGCATTCGTCAATTGTTTCTCTAGATCTGCGACATTTTAGAGTGCCCAAATCTGGCAGCATAACATGCGTTTTATTGATGAAATGTCTGGTGACCTTGTTGGCCAAAAAACAGTATTAACACCTCGGATACTGTACAGAGATATCGGAGTCTTATGGGATCTAGTATTATCCTGTTGGAACATGGCTTCATGTGACGTGTCATGAAGGTAACACAAACGGTCGCAGGATATCATCAACATACCGTTGAGATATTAAAGTTGTAAGCAGGATGACTAAAGTGAACCTGCTGTTGTAAGAGATAGCACCCTACGCCATCACACCGGGTGTTATGGCTGTGTGCCTCTGTCAAACAAAGGCTGACTGAGAACGCTATATATGGCCCCTCTACACACGAACTCGATGGTCATCTTTTGCAAGGCTGAAGCGGGATACATCGCTGAACACAATGCGATGTCAATCGGCCAGCAGCCATGATGATTGGCTACGAAACCACTCCAGACGACTCTGTCGTCGGTTTGTACGGAACGAAGAGATTCATAATGACCTCAAAATTATGCCCATCAATCGCTATATACAGCGACTTTCGGAAAAATTTTTCAAAAATATTCAACATGTTGCTAATCCTGTGCTTCATATGCTACCCGTATATGATCCTGCTGTTGTTTCTTCCCGGAAAAGACCCAGAGCGGTTTTTAACCAGGAATATTCAGCTCTCCCATTTAAACGGGCTAGATATGAGCATACTGACAGCCATGTGAATAACTACCTCTCGTTCCTTAAACCCCCCCCCGCCTCTAAAGTTCTTTAATGCACACAGCATTAACTCGAGGAACTCCCTTTAACGTTTCTTTAATAAGAAACATCACAGTCTAAAAGGACTGAATTAAAATATACTTTTTAACTCTTGAACTGACTTAAAATGAAAAGATTTTTAAATACTGCTCCTTTCTTCCTTTAAAAAGGAACTTTCTCAGGCGTTTAACAACGTCATTTTAGACCTTAAATACTGCATTGAATAGCGGTCAAAAACGAAACTTCTCCCTCCCAGCTGATCACTGGCAGAACTACTTTTTCGACCTATAAACAGGTTCCCCCCTCCCTCCCACCCCTGAAGAACGCGCATCGGAAATTCCCCTGCGTATTCTTCGCCTCTGACGTATGCAAAACACGATTATCAAGGTTCAAGGAAACTTCATCTTTTATTTCTCCAGTCAAAATTTTATTTTGGCTTACCCTATCTAAATTATTCTGGCCCTTTTTCGGCACAAAATTAAGACCTTCTGAGTTTTTTGCCTTTTTTTGACTCAGTGTGAAGGCACTTATTCCAAGTCATTCGGCTTTTCAAAATTTTTACCCTATTTGACACCCTCTTTTTGATGATGTAATTTCCTTTGAAGATGTGGAGGTAAAGGCGTAATTGCCTATGAACTCCGTAACTTCCACTTCCTTGATCCTTGATCCTCTGTCGTTGGTTAAAAGCAGACGTCTTAAAGCCTCTGGGAGCCCGCCTTAGCCAAGCACCGTAAGATGGCAGAAGGGGCCATGGGTGGTACGGAAAAAGCTACAGCACGTTGGATAGCGGACAATGACGCCATTACAGTAGTTTCGGCTGCCTCACAATCATCCGATCTTGCCTCGCATTCATACATCTTCGCCTTCAACAGTCTTGATTCCGCCAATGAGCAGCAAAGGTTGAAGCAGCCATTACTGCCAGCACCTTTGCAGATCCAGATCCCTACTGTCCAGCAACAGTCCATTCTTGGGCAAGATCAGCAGGCTTCACGCGTCCCTACTATGCGACTAAATTTGAAATTGCTTCTGTTAGATGTTATTATTATGATGTTATTTTATTGTTAGAAGATTTTGCTCTTGCCATGTAAGTTTACTCTTTCAAATGTTCCAATGAGAGATTCTGTTCAATTGTTCATTACATATGATTTTATATTACCTTCTCATGTCATGAAATGGATTTTTAACGAAATTAAAGCCGACAACGTAAAGATATTTCTAACATTAAAGAAATAAAAGTTAAAAGCTTTACATAAAAAATTTCCGTTCTTAAATCCTTCAATATAGCGCTCTGACACGTTCTCAAATGTTGCTGGAGGTTTTGAATCGCATCCGTAGGACGCCTTACACATTTTTCGACTCAGTTTTTCTTTGTGGCATTGCTGTGTAGTTCAAGTTTAATTTCTTCTCCAATTTAAATTCCTTGTTTAAATGGTACAATGTTATGGCAATCACCTTAGTAGAATTCGCCAAATTTTAAGAATTTACCAAATTCTGGCAGCCATGCACATAACGATTCTTCAAATAACACAATGCTCATAACAATCCTTCAGTCAAGCAACGTCGCCATTTTCGCATGCGTTTTTTTGTTCTATTCCAACGGCTTTTATAAACAAATCGGGATATTTCATACCTTACAATTAATTTTAAAAGATGCGTTTATGCAATTTATCAGCGGTGAAAGAAAGCGGTAAAATTTCTTCAGGAACACAGAATTTTGACGCAAAATCTTTACAGGGAAAAACGAGGAGATGCTGTTAGCAGATAGCCGTTGCAGGATTTTGAGGGATATTTTATAATTCTCTGATGTTCTGTGTGCTCAGGGGAGAAGAATAAAATTTAAAGTAAAATATGAAGGAAAATGTGATTTATTTTTCATGTCTCACGTAATGCTTATTTAATAATTAAAATTTATAGTTTAAATTATTAAAATATGTTCCCTTTTCGTATGCTGTTACTGTTTTCGAGCTAAACAATAATTATTGATGGTCTGGGAATATTTTTTTTTAAAAGTCGCGAAAGCCACCAACTTAACCCAATAAAAACTTGCGTCTTTTCATCTGTAAAAAGTTGCCAAATTGCGCCAAGGTGGTTGCTTTAATACGTAAGTACCCCTTTAACTCCTTTAATTGCTTGAAACAGATTTTATCTCTTGGAAGCGCAGTTATTCTGAAGATTAAAGCTGATTTTTCAGTATAATAATTAATAAAAATAAACTTACGGGATTTGATTCCAGCCTGCAGTATCGCAAAGCCGTATTGGAACAATACATTGGCCTATGACCTAACGTCACGACCCAAGGCCATTTCGCTCTGTTCTGTGGAAGATTTGCTTGCTGTAAAAGAAGAAAAAAAAAACAGAGTTTTATTTCAATAGAAATAAGCAAACATTTAAGTTTTTATCGAAAACGCTAATCAATTATAAATGTGTAGTTTTCTACAAATGTACACGCCTGCATATTACAACTTGAATCTAACATTTCTGAGTATTCACATATATATCCACTCTTTTACTCGGCTGAGTGAGCTCAGTTTTATTTTATTCTTATATGTTGATAAATTGTGCAATTTTTGCTTTAAAAATAACTGAATTATGTTGTTGTTATCTTCCAGCTAAGGTTTAGTAAATCTGCATGCAATATTTGTAGAATTATCAACAATTTAAAAGTTTTTTGAGTAGGGCTAAGCCTATTTTTCGTTACAATAGCAGCTATCTTTGTTTACATTTGAAACTTAACAGAATAGTGAATTAGTTCTTCCTGCCCTTTCAGTGTCTTTTTGCCGAGTGGAACCAAAAGGAAACTTTTAGTTTTGTGCTCCGAAAAATCTGCCTGCTAGCCTGCTGAGCTGAATTGCATTTTTTTGCGTAGAAACCGTAATTTTAATGGTAAAAAATGTTTAGGTGTTTTATGTTTTTCTCTATCTTTCAATTTTTAATGAAGTCATTTTGAGTTTTTATGTATTTTTGCCTTGCCGCGAAGTGAGAAATGAATGAATTGAATGAGAAATGTATGAATGATAAGAAATGAATTGAATGAGAAATGAATGAATTGAATGAGAAATGTATCTCTAATGAAGTTCGAGGAAATAAGTTTAAATGAAATACAGAAAAAATGCATGTAATTTATTATTCCGTACAAAGAATTCAAGTGGCGTACACATCAGCGTTTTTTAACGATCGTTTAAGCACTAAAAACATTAAAATTATCATTGAAATAGCATTGATCGTAATGATGTTCTTATATACATCACTATTGAAAAATGTATTCATGGAAGAATTTTCTGCCGTTTAAAATATTGAAAGTCTTTTACATTTCTTTTGACGTAAAGAATTAAATTCAACGTCTTCACTGTAAGTTTATTTGAATTTGTGTTTATGTTTGGACGATGCCTAGATGATAAAGTACATTCTTCCATGTATTTGTATGTTCTTCAGTTGAGTACCAGTTACGTTCTTGTGTTCTTAATTATAAGTTCTACCCAAAAGTACTTTTCTATTTTTTTAATCAGCGTGTTTACTTATTCTTCTTATTTATTTTACAAAAGTATTCAGATTTAATCTTGACAATAAACGGTTATACGAAATCGTTTTCTTTTTCTGTTAATAAGAGAAAGTTTGCAACATTTTCTTTCTCTAGTTTTACGAATGTTAATGTTGTCGAAGCCTCCAGAAACTGTAGTCAAATTTGAGTAATATTAGGAGCGCCATCTATGCAAAGATTCTGGAACTAGCAACTAATCTGAAGCGTAGTCTCGAGATCCAAAAATAGAGAAAGTAGGCGCCGCTTAAATGTAATCACGTTTTGTCCACGACGTTTTTAATAGCATTAAAGGATGAGAAAAGAAATGCTGTTCAAAATAACAATGGAATGTAAATAAATTAATATAAATGTAGCCATGAATATATAAAAATTGGTAGTTCCCCCATCTAATTTGGAAAAGGCAAAAATTTGTTTATGAACATGTCTTTAATATCTTAACGATGTGTTTAATTTAAAAGTTCATTTACGAACTGTTCAAAACGTTTCTGGGAATTATTTAACCGATAATGAAACAATAATGTTAATACATGGAGGGTATCTCTCGTTGAAAAAGAATATCCTAATGTAAAATTAAAAGTTAGGCAAAAAAAACAATCTTAGTAGATGTTTTCCATGGAGAGAAGAAAGGACTTCCTACCTCCATGATGTTGTCATGGATTTCTTTTTTTTTCCAGGACCCAGGGAAAAGGGCAGGGATTCTGCAGAAATTGTTTTATTATCTTAGAGGAGGGATCTGTATGTAGGACTGTTCTCATAACCGATAGCGTTATTTAAAAATTTACACATTAGGTTGCATCTTTTGCTTAATTTTAAAATTGTTGATTTAAAATTGAAACCAAATTGTTTGGTAACTTAATCCTTTATATGGTGATATTTTTCTGTCACTTCCAATTTTTACAATCTATTTTCCGCTTATTTGGTGACTCTACTTAAGTTTAAAAAAATTACTGTGTAAAATTTCGATCACATTAACCGAAGTATGTTCCATGTTTTCGTGTACAAATGGGCTGCAACTTCGCTAATTCAATAACAATATTCGAAAAATAACAATATTCGAACAGTAACAGAGATCACTCTAAGCGGCATCTACTGTATTCATAAGGTTTTTAATTTCAGCTATAAAGTAAAGCAATGTAATAAAAGTAATGAAATTTTGAAAACCATATGTGAGAAATCAAATGTGATACTAAACAGTTTCATAGTGGCATGAAATTGCAAATTTAATTTGTTATTATTAAAAAAGTCCATTATAATTAACATATATTCTACAAACACACCCTAAACTATTATTAATAATAGAAAATTTTAAATGACATGGATCAAGAACAAGTATGTATATAATAAATAAAGTAGTGAATAAATCTTCATTACTACGCAAACTTTACTCTTTATCCAGAGGACACACAAAAAAGCTATTTGAAAAAAAAAAAATTGAAATAAGGCTAGACTTAACCGGGAAGAAGATCGTTTTAAATATCTATGGTATTTGATAAATTTCATGAATAATATTTCCCCGGGTAAATTTCTTTGCATTATTTTTATTAATTTTGCCATCTAATTCTTTTCTGCAGTGTTTGTATTTTAATTAAATTTATTTTGTTAAACGTACAGAGTTTATTAGCAAATTTAAATTTTCTCAGCTCCTTACAATTTTCATCTAACTGGTAAAAAAACACTACATCGATATTTATATTTATTTTTTCCTACACAGAGATATAGGAAAGATATGCAATTTAAGGTCTTAACAGAGAAATGCGATTTTACAGAAGCTATTAAGAAACTTTAAAATGGAAGTCATAAGCATGGTATTGTAGCGGCTATTGGTACAAAAGCATAATGCTTTAACCAAAATTGTTTCTTGCCTCGGTCAACCTCCCAAAAGCCTTGACTTTAATATCCTGGATTTAAGATACTTTAATGCATACAAGCTTTACAAAATCAAATTGTGTCTACCAACAAAGACCAACTTATTCATGCGTTTAGTACGTTAAAAATCGAAACTTTAAAGGATGCGTGTTCGATTATAGAATGCATTGCTCAGGCTAGCGGAGAAATACTAATTATAAGCTGCCGCACATGAAAAACGTAGTGCTTCGATCTCAAAACACGTTCCCGAAAAGTATCAGAGATTATTGATATCAGATAATCCATTATTGCGGCTCATGAAGCAAAAAATAAGTTTAAAAATTAAATAAAAAAAGAAAATCTGAAAGGTTTCAGATTTTAAATTACGTTCCAAAGGGCGTTTTTTTTTTTTTTTTTTTTTTTTTTTTTTTTTTTAGTGCAAAGGGATTTGAATCCCGAAGGACTATTAGTTTCGTTTTGGCATTTTGCGTCGGACTCATAAATGTCGGTTCACTTTTCAAACTGTTGCCACAAAATGTTAGAGTCCTGCATTATATTTGAAGAAATTAAATAATGAAAAATCTGCGTAAATGTATGTATATTTCTCGTATTGTCATAAAACAACGGTACATAGAGTCATCGAATTTTGAATAACGTAATCCTCCAACGAATATGAGCATGTGGAAGACCAAATTTGAAATTTGAAATTTGTTTTATGATCGATTTCCTATTTTTTAAAACTTTGACGAATTTTTGATTAACAAACTCAAGGATTTCAAAGCGAGCAATGGCAACGTTGTGCAGAAAAAACATTTTTATCTCCAGCGCGTGAGTCTCTCTGTATCGGAAATTCTAAAGATATGCTCGTTTTAAAACTATTTTGCGATATTGCTGTTGCACTGGATCTTATGGTTTAAGTGCGAGGAACATGATATTTAATAAAGAAAGGTAACACACAAAATGTTAAAAAACGCCCCTTTGGACGTAATTTAAAATCTGAAACATTTCAGATTTTTTTTTTTTTTTTTCATTTGTGCTACCTTTATTTATTAAATATCATTTCTTCGCACTTAAACCCTAAAATTCAGTTCAAGAGCAATATTGCAAATTAATTTTAAATTGAGCATATCTTTCGAATTTCCGATACACAGTCTCATGCGCTCGAGATAAAAATGTTTTTTCTGTACGACGTTGCCATCGCTCGCTTTGAAACCCTTGAGATTGTTAATCAAAGATTCTTTAAAGTTTTTCAAAATTAGGAAATCGATAACAAAACAATTTACAAATTTAAAATTTGGGCTTCCAGATGCCCATATTCGTGGTAGGATTACGTCATTCAAAATTGGATGGCTGTAGGTACCGTTGTTTAAACACAATGCGAGAAACATACATACATTTGTGAAGATTCTTCATTATTTAATTTCTTCAAATATAATACAGGGCGATAATATCTTGTGGCAACAGTTTGAAAAGTGAAATGGACATTCAGAGTGATTCGACGCAAAATTGCAAAACGAAAACAATAGTCTCTCGGGAACAAAGCCCTTTTGGACTAATAACATGTACTTTTATAATAAATATTAAATAAATTTTTATTTAAACAATTACTCATATAATTGTATTTTACTTAATAAATTATATTTACGCCTTGAAGTCCAGAGCAATCATTTCGATACAGAGGGAATACTTTATGACTTATTTTCATGCCTGTTGCATATTGTTACAGATTTCGTATATATGTAAATAACTTTAGGTAAGCTATAAGTGAAATTGTAGTATTTTCTGTATAATACGTCTTTAAATTCTTGAAAGAGACGAGACTGTTCGGGAAAAATAACATTACAGGGGCAAGTCTATTTATCATTAAGTAAATTGTTATCTCACTGAAATGGCGATATATCGACAAGCTGGCGACGGTATTTGTTGCCAAATTTGGGGAAGAAATCGTCAAAAGTCACCAAACGTGGCGATATTTTGGTGCAGTACCTGTATATTTGTGCATTACACTTCAAACACTTAGTCGAATAATGAATTAATTCAATTTGTGCACCAATTTCAGTGTCTTTTCCACGAGTGAAACCAAAAGTAAACTTTCAGTTTTATGCACCGAAAAATCCGTCTTCCTACATGCTGTCTGAATTACTTGTTTTTGCGTAGAAACTCGAAGTTTAATATATATTTTTTAACTGTTTATAACTGTATTTAGTGTTTCATGTTTTTCTGTATTTTACAATTTTTATAGAAGATGTTTTGAACTTTTACGTATTTTTGCCTTGCACGGAAGTGAGAACTGAATTGTTTGAATAAGAAATATATCTCTAATGAAATTCGAGGTAATAGTTTTGAGTGAAATAGAGCAAAAAATGTGTATAATTTAACAAGCTGTACAAGGAAGTCATTCCCAAAAGTTAAAACAAACGAAATTCCTGGAATTTAAGATTATATCGATATAAATTATTTCCGGTTCCTTCTTAAAATTAAATTTCAGTTTAATTTTGTTATCAGGGATTAAATTATGGACAACCTGTATGCTATTTATTATCAATTAAAAAATAAATGAAATTAAAAAGGAATTTTTAAAAACCCGTCTTCGTCAGCCAATTAATGTGAATAAGTAAAGAGTTTAGCAAATTTGAATCACATTTACTTCCTCATATAAAAACGAATAAAAAGGAATTTTACTCGGGAACAGTCAAACGAACAAAAGCTTAATAATTCAGCTTTATGAGCATAAAAGGATGCATAAAATGTATTTTGATCTGCTTCTGAGGTAATTATCTATAACAGCAATAAAAAGTAGTAACAAAAGCAATAAAAAACCTGATATGGGAATCACATGACTTCCTTGTACGACCTATTAAATTAAACACATTTTTTCCTGAACTTCATTTAAACTTATTTCCTCGAATTATTCTAACTTAATTAACCGGTTTCTCAAGACAAGTTAAAAACGACACCAAAAACAGCAAATTTTGAAATTAAATATCCAGGTCAATTTTTGTCGTACGGGAGTCAAACTTCTTATAATTTTATTTCTTCGTCATGCGCATAAAACTTTCCCAAATATAAATCTAGTAACTGGAAGATCACACTAAAATTTACATTTCATTATTTACTAATTAAATTAAATTTAATTAATAAATAGCTCAAAGGGCTATTAATTTTTTTGGTATTTTGCCTCGATTCCCTTTTCAAACTGCTGCCACCAAATATTGCAGCCCTGTATTATATTTGAAGAAATTAAATAACGAAGAATCTACATAAATGTATGTATGTTTCTCGCATTATGATAAAACAACGGTATCTAGAGCCATCCAAATTTGAATAACGTAATCCTCCACCGAATAGGGGCATCTGGAAGCCCTAATTTGAAATTTGTTTTATTATCTATTTAATATTTTTCCAAACATTAAAGAATTTTTTATTAACAAACTCAACGATTTCAAAGCAAGGAATGGCAACACTGTACGGGAAAAGTACGTATGCACAGATATCACGAAAAAATCTCTTTAGAATCTATTTTAAATCCATTTTAGAATTTGAATGTATTTTACATTTTGGAAAAAAAAAAAAAAGAGTCCTTTATTCTGTTCGTACTTGCAGATGTCACGGGAAAAAAAAATCATTCCAATAGATTTGGAAACTATCAAAATGGATATTTCATTTGAAATATGATATCGGAAATTTTTGGTGATTATAATACTTCCTTTACTTCGTAAAAGGACGTAAAAAATCAAAACTGCGTTAAGTGAAAACAGAATTATTTGCCAAAAAACTTTTTTTGCGTATCTTTTGTTTGGAGTCTATAGTTGCAGCAACGTGTTGCAAGATAAAAATGGTTTTCACGCCCCCCCCCACAACTTCCCAATAAATGGACAGAGTAAAAATTATTAGAAACAACGATAATTTGAAAGAAACTTGCATGTTTAGTATAGTAACTTTACCCCGGACTTAATTTCTCGACTGCTTTTGCCAAATATAGGAAGTTTCCTATAATTTTGATAATATTATATTAAAGTTTTATATAATAATTAATTAATTAATATTTCATTATTTTATATTTCATTTAATTAATATTTCATTAAAGTTTTCTATAAGCATTGACTTTATCTGCAAATTTTAGATATTCCATACATTTTTTAATTTTCATTTGAATTCTTAGATTGTTGTTCGTGGATAGATTCATTTAATATTAACTTCTGCTACGTTTTATACGAAAACCTTTCTACAAATTTATTCTGCTTCGAAATCCAAAATAGAACACTGGATCTTAAATTATCATCTGTCAGTATGACTAGACTCTTGAACCTTTTGTTTTATCTGATAATCTGAATGGTAGTAAGTGATTGAAAATGTTTTCAGTGAGCATAATAATATAATAAATAACAGAAAGGAAAAAATACCTCTCGGTAATAATAATAGTAACAATAATAATGTAATAGAATGGGGAAAAATACACCTCTATAATAAATACTGAAAACATAATATACTGAAATAAGTAAACTGATAATTAAGATGACATAAATAAAATTAAAGGAATTAAATCAATCAATAAAGCATGATTTCTTACCCGAAGGGTGTCATCAAGCCACTGGTAATGAGAGTGTACAGATTCCAGCCCTCCATAAAGAAGGAAAAAGTACACTTCTGTGCTCATTACTACAAAATGGACTGGACCTAATTTGAAGCTGTGAAGAGAAAAATGTAATGGTTTTAATCAACGCTTAAATTTCTTATTAGCAAACAAAATGAGTTTTTTTATTTAACATCCAATCAGCAGCCAGTGCCTGGAAATTTTCCAGAAAAATGTGCTCGTAAATAAAATCATAGCAAATTCTGTACAATTTCATAATACATCAAAATTTAGCTTCGTTTTGAAATAATATTTCTGAGAAATATGTTTATCATGAAAAAATGCAAAAAATAGGAAAAGACAAAAAGTGGCAATATGTAAAAAATATATAAGAATTAGATGTAAAATTAAATAGTTCTATTTTTACAGTTGCTTTTTCACTTTGTATAAATAATGCCTTAAAGATTTGATGATGAGAATTTACTTTAGAGAAATAAAGGCATTTCTCTTTTTAGCTCACTGTACTTTCTATTTCTATAGTTTCTTCAAACTTCCTTAATTTTTTTGTTTAGTAGTCATCTAGTCTTGCAACAGATGGCGCCACAAGTAAGACTGTAAGAATTTCTAAATTTTCTGATAGTATAGCTGGTTTGGTTTATGTGATTGTGACAAAGCACTTGAAGGCTATCTGTCGAAGAGGAGAGATACTTTTGTGGAGGATATATTAAGGAATTTGGTTCGTATGTACGTTACGTATGATGAAAATCACGAAAACGTCCATACAGTCGCATTTTCTATTGCGATTAGATTTTGGTGCTGTCATCTAGTGGTGTTTTCATAATTTACAAACCTTACCCTCTTCAATAACTTCTGAGCTTGGTTCTAATTAATTTATTTAAGAGTTTTAGTTTAAAATGCTCTAATAAGACCTGAAAGTATCATGTATATAATAGTAAAGTGTATCGCAAGTAAACATATTTAATTTACTTATTTTCCTTCCTGTAAGCAAGCATATTTCATCATTTACTTAATATACATTATAAAAATTACCAAATCTTCATATCGACTGAAGTACAAGCTAAGGTACTTAAGATGTCAATCCCACATTATAGCGTACATGTATTTAATTTTAAAAATTTGCAAGTCCATTATTTAAAGAATATATTTTCAATAATTTGAACTGCACAATATGTATTTACACACACACATATGTATATATGTACAATCAAGAGCCAAAATAAAATCAAAGTTGGTGACCAACAAGAAGAAATAAAGTCAAAATTGAGATAAAAACAAAGCAATATAATAAAATAGTACGAAAATATAATAATCATAATCATATTAAACCAACTTTTTGTGTGTTAACTTTATTTATCAAATGTGCTTGAAAACTCTTCGCACTTGCACCACATAAAATTCGACTCAAGAGCAAAATCACAAAATTTAAAAATGGCATATATTTCGAATTTCCAATAGACAGTCTGGCGCGCTGGAGATAAAAATATTTTTATTCCGTACAATGTTATAAGTGCTCGTTTTCGAATCGTTAAGTATGTTAATAAAAAAATTCATTAAAGTTTTACAAAATATGAAATAAATAATTAAACATATTTTGTAAATATATATTTCATATTTTGTAAAATTTTTAATGAGTTTTTGATAAACAAACTCAAAGATTGGAAATTGAGCAGTGGCATCACTGTAGGAAATGAAGCATTTTTATCTCCAATGTGCAAGACTGTATATCGGAAATTCGAAAGATATGCCATTTTTAAATACTTTGTGACTTTGCTATTGAATCGCATTTTATATGGCTGAAGTACGAAGAACATTATATTCAATGAATAAAGTTAACACATAAAACGTTAATAACTAAAAGATTTTTTAAAAAAACGTTATGCAATCCATCTTACTAAGAAAATTGGATATTCATATGATGAACTGTTGCACTGAGAAAAGACTGAAAAAAACTAAAAATAGAAAAAATATATGGCAACACGGCATCTATAATCGAAAATTCTATACATATGCTGCTATGTTGCTTTTAATTTCTTTTTAATTTTGAAGTTGATCTGTATGTAGCATAAGTGAGAAGAAAACGATGCTTAATAACAAACCTAGAAAGCCAAAAAAAAAAAAAAAAATGGGTTCGCATGAGTGAGTTCAACTCAATTTGTGGACTGTGAGCTCAGGGACAGCGTAAAAAATCTTAACAAGCCCTTTTGGGTGACCGTTAAATCTGAAAACTTTCAGATTTATATCTGATTTATATATATCTGAAAGATTGAGATATATATATATTACATCTCAATCTTTCAGATATATACATAGATTTGTATCTAATTTGAGATTTATATCTGAAAACTTTCAGATATATATATTATTTTTATAACAACTATTTTAGGCGTCTGAAGTGGTTATTAAGTAATAAAATGACAACAGATCGTCTATTTAGGACAAAATAATGAAAAAGAGGTGAATGGCTGCATTGAAAATTTCACTTCATATATAAAAATACTAATCATTATATCATTACGTAGATTTATATGTAGCCCTATACATTTTTTAATAAATATTTTACATAAAGCAATATCTATTTCTAATATGTAGGAAAAAATTCTTACCTGTACCATAAGTTGTCTTCTGTACCAGGCATATCGAATCTGGTCTTGTAATTCGTATAGTTCCTGAGAAGAACAAATTCTTATGATTATGAATACTTCTCTAAAAGCAGTCAAGTAAGCAGATTATAGTTTCATGTGTTTACCTTATGAGATTGATCTGATTTCCATTGCAAACCTCTTTTTAAAAAATGTAATTAACCTAGTCATTCACTAATATATCTTTATTTGCTACATATAAATCAGATTTTTCAATCTATATCTTTATCTTTATTTATTAAAAAAAAGCTATCTTTGTCTTAATTCGCTATATATAAAACAGACTGTTTATTAAGATAAAGCTAATATTTTAATTTGCTATATATAAAATCGGATGTTTCAATCCTTATCTTTATCTCTCAATCGATATCTTTATTTATTAAGATAAAAATGATATCTTTATCTGATTTCACTATACATAAATCAGACTTTTAAATGGATATATTTATTAAGATTATTAAGATATAGTTACTATCGTATCTTAATTCGCTATATATAAATCACACTTTTCAATCGAACCCTTCCCGTAACACTCGGTGATTTTGCTTGTTTCATAACTTGGCACATGCAATGATTTATGCCTCTAATAGAAGCAGAAAAGACAAGGAAGCAGAAAATCTTCAAATTTTCGCACCTCCCAAACATTATCAAACTAGATAAATAAATAAAATTAAACTAAAAAATAAAGGATCCAAATATTTTTAATAAATTATTACTTTTAAAATATTGATCATTAAATTTAAATAATAAAAATTAATTGTGCTTAATTTAATAATTTAAATTTATGTATGTTTAATAATTTATCTAAATTATTTAAATTATAATAATTGTTTCTAAAAAATTAGAAATTCGTTTAATTACAAAATTAATGGAATTGTTTATAAAACTTATCAGTTAAGTATATTATAATTCTTAAGCCTTAGATGCATTCTAAATTACATCACCTACAGATATCTTTAGAAGTTTAAGACACAGAATTAAATTGCGCGACGTTTTAATTTGCATAGCAAAGCATTTAGATTTTGTCGAACGGTGGTAACACCCGGGAAAACTGGTATTTGGTAGGTAACGCTGTATGATTAGTATTACTTAAATTAACCCGGCTCTTATGATTTGGGTCTTTACTATAACTTTCCGCTCTCCCCAACAGAATGCAGATGAGTGTAGCTAGTATTTAAAGTGAGGTTTTTGTGTTTAGGAAAGCGAGTGTTTCATTCTGTGCTTAGTTCCCGACAGCTGTGATGGCTTCATTTGGCTTTCCGTTATATCGCTGCCAACAAGTTAATTTTGATGCTCGGATAGAATTACTGAGCCATCTTCGAGTAAGGTTTAAATTCTGTAGTTTTTGAGTACTGTTACAAGTTTGATTGAAATGTGACTGTTTCTGCATAGCTGCCTCACTATAAGTTATCGTTGATAATATTAGCACAAGAAAGTCGATTTGTGTTCGAATTTCTGTTTAATAGGAATGGTTATTTAAAACCTTATCATGACTTATTTCAGATCTAGCGATAATTCGCTTCATATTTCATGGGGTTATTAATTGGTATGTCGTAACAGCATAGCGTAAAGTTACAAAATATAAAGGTAATAGAAATGAATACTTTGGACATTTCTAATGTTAAAAGAGCATTTTTCTCAATATAGTGTGTTCTACGGGTTCGTGGATTGGGAGTGATTGATGACAACATTTGATAAAAATTCAAAACACAATTTTTTCGTCAGTATTTCACAGAATATCTGACGTGTTGGTGTTGGTGTATTTAATTATGGCAAAGCACACTAGGCTATCTGCCTAAGGGAAGGGATGCCTTCGTGGAGGACTTTCTAAGGGAAAGTCGCTCGTATACACGTTACACATGGGGAAAACCACGAAAACACCCATGCAGCCATCCCGTTCGCGGGATTCGAACCTCGGACCGAACTACCAGTGTTCAGCGACTTTACCGCTCGGCCGCTGGTGGGCCTCCCAAAGACGAGTTACAGTCGTCAAAAATTACGATAAACACGCTGAAACAATAAGCAACATAACCTTCAGGCTACAATGAAGACACCTTCACGGCAAAGCACTAACATGCAGCTCCCGACTCGATTCGGTCGCTCTCGGAGCTCAAGACACTATTACTGAACTCAACGTAGCCATCATTTCTTGAGCTGTCGATATTCCCCTTGATATACTCACGATATACCCCGCTTACAGGAAGGGTTTATATAGCTTTTGACTTGCCTTTGAGAACATTCTGGAACAAGGAGGTAAAAATTCGTTCCAGAATGTTCTCGCTCCGTCTATCGCATATCGCCAAATGTGGCCAAAAGGGCTATTTCGCTTCAAATCTGGCAAATCTTGCCTTTCTTTTCCATTTTTGGCAACACTAAACCCTCTTTGCGGGGAAGCTATCTTACCTCGGCTGGGCATTTCGTAACAATACATTTCCAATTTTATTTCCTTTTACAGAAACTTCATTTTTTCAATTTAAATTAGCATTTTCCATTCCCAATATCAAAAAACCAAGTAGCCCAACCATGTAGTGAATAAGATATGTGTGTAAGATATGTAGTTAAACCATTAGTTAATAGTACCTACACAACGTACCCTCGACGTACATAAACAGAATAGTATATTCTGTCCATATATATAGACGTTACTCATAAATATGGTCCAGATGGAATAGGGATCGATCAAAAGGGATATTTACATTGAAATACGGTACCCTAAATTTTTTATGATATACAAGGAGGTAAAAATCAAAACGTTCCGTAAAACCTCAAATACTGAGCAATTTTATGTCCAATTTGTAACTTGTTTCTTACGTTTATAGTAATAAAATAAAAGAGAAAATTTTCGATCTGTTAAAATACTAAACGCTTTATTTTCCATTTCCTTATCAGTTTAACAGAAGCATTGACGGAAGAAAAATAAAATAAAATTCTTAACTTACCAATTGAAAGCTTCGTGATTTCCCACGGACACCATATACGGTACTCTTGAAGCTATTGGCTCTATCATGTTCATGAAGTTATCGCCCACTCGGCCGTTGTTCTATAAGAGAGAGTCAATTCAGAAATCGAAGAAAGTACTTCAAATACAAAAGTCTTTGAATACGAAATAACATATGTAACACTGCAAACATTATTCACCTTATGTTTACTATTATTAGTTAAGAAAACTAATATAAAACTCCTCCATAAGGCATTTTCTAAGACATTATCTAGGCATTTTATATAATGCCAAAAACTGGCCGACAATGTATGAAACAATTAACATTTCACACATTTCCTACGCATTCTATAGAATGACAAATGACAAAGGGCAAAGTATGAAACGATTAACATTTCACACGTTTTTAGGCATTCTATAGAATGACAAATGACAAAGGGCAAAGTATAAAACGATTAACATTTCACACGTTTTTAGGCATTCTATAGAATGACAAATGACAAAGGGCAAAGTATGAAACGATTAACATTTCACACATTTCCTAGGCATTCTACATAATGACAAATGACAAAGGGCAAAGTATGAAATGATTAACATTTCGCACGTTTCCTAGGCATTCTATAGAATGACAAATGATAAAGGCCACAGTATGAAACGATTAACATTCCACACGTTTCCTAGGCATTCTAGAATGACAAATGACAAATGGGAAAGTATGAAACGATTAACATTTCACACGTTTCTAGGCATTCTATAGAATGACAAAGGGCAAAGTATGAAACGATTAACATTTCACACATTTCCTAGGCATTCTATAGAATGACAAATGACAAAGGGCAAATATGAAACAGCCAAAGAAATGAAAATGAATTCCTAAAAAATATTTCTCACTGCTTTTTAGGAACTACTGGGTGAGTTCCTGACGTTGACAAAGGACAAGATGATTCCAGCAGCGTATTGGGAGTTGGAATGAATGTGACGGAGGACACTTTCTACCGACGTGGAATTTCTGAAGAAATTTTAAAACAACTACATCACAGACGACAATTGACTTTACGCCTTAAGAACTTGATTAGAATTGAAGATATTCTTGACCACGAATTCACTTCCCGCCAGTTGCCATTGATCGGTCCAGTGAAAGCGGTCAAGAATTTATCAAGCATACGTGCAACACAAAGTGATAAAATATGAAATGTCCGTGTGTGAAAAACGTAAGGAAGTTTAGTTCAAAATATCATTCAAACCTACCATGCTGCAAGAAGTAGTGTTCTTTATGATAAAAATATAGTTTTTTTTTTCTTTAATAAGAAAGGCATATGTTTTGTTTTGCAGGATTTTTCCCTTTTCTTTACGTATTTTGATTAAAATTTTTAATAATCTCTTTAATTTTTTTCTTCAAATTAATTTTTTGTATTTTTAAGGAATGCACGTCTTTTAAATATTATAATAGCCTTATGATGATATGTTTTTTAATATTTTGCCTAAATAGCATTTGTCATTATATAGAATGCCTAGGTTATACACAGTGTTTAGAGAATATATATGATAGTTCTCAGATTTCATGCTTTGTCCAAAAACGCCAGGCAGTCTATAAAATGCCTAGGTATTCTATAGAAAGCCAACGTTTCATACATTAACAGTGACATATAGAAGTGCTCCAAGGACAACGAAGCTAGTAGTTCTATGCACTTCAACCAAACAAACAGAATCTTTTCTCCGCCAGTTACGATTTCAATTTTACAGTGTTATACAGGGTGGTCATAACAAACTTCTCCGATTATGAAACCTTAGCGGCGTATCTGCTCGACTAATAGGAATGAAGTTTCTGGTATTCATATTTGAAGGTATGCGCTCGAGATTGTGATGATTTTAAAACAATAGAACTCTCACGGCTACGGTTACAGTGAAAACAGTTCAAAATTTGAATGGTAAAACCCACTTTTTCCTGCGCAAACTGATCAGCGCTCTGTAAACCATAACGAACGTTGGAACGATGCACGCAATGACAAAAACGCCATTTGTAAAGTTTGAAATATTTTCATTGTAACCGTAACCGTGAGAGCTCTATTGTTTAAATCATCGCAATCCCAAGCGCATACCTTCAAATAACAATATCCGAAATATCATTTAGATTGGTTGAGCCGAATGACCGCTAGGGGTTCATATATCTCCAAAGACTTTTTATGACCACCCTTGTGTATTGGAGTGCATGTCTAGATCCCATATGAATTCTGAGCAGTCAATGAGATTTATTTGGCTGATTTCCACTAATGACATTGATCTGAATTTTGGAATTAAATTGCAGCCTTCATTTCATTGAGGTTAACCATCTCTTCTTTCATACGTGGTGCGTTTGCGCTTAGAAAGTATCTTTTTGAATAGACAAAAATCTATAGGGTATAGGTGAAACATCGGGAGACATTGCAGAAATAATTTGAAAAGGTATATATGCAATACCTGTATCAGTCTTCATTTTTCAAGGAATGGAGTGGTACTTTTCGAAGTAGGGCTTTTTGCTTTGTCTTGATGATGTTTCACTTTTTGAAAGTCAGTGGGATAAAGAAATGCAATTTTTCTGTAAATATCAGACGTAAAACATTTTCTTGATAGCACGTTGAGTTGATTTTAAGATTTTTTTACGCACTTCTTATTTTCATTGCGGATCACAATGTATTTCGATTTATCTCCTGCTAAATAGTTTTCATACAAGATTCTACAGACTCATCTACGTTGAGCCACATGCGTCAGCAACCGCTGGTGAAAATTATGCTTTTTATCCTTTTTAAGTAGTAAATCTTGGTTTGTTATTTTATTAGTTGTCGTTACAAATGCATTTAAAGATTTTGCACAGGATTTCTACGTCGGTGGATTTTCCTTGTTACCAACGCCCACCAGCGGCCGAGCGGTGAAATCGCTGAACACTGGTAGTTCGGTCCGAGGTTCGAATCCTGCGAACGGGCTGGCTGCATGGGCGTTTTCGTGGTTTTCCCCATGTGTAACGTGTATACGAGCCAGTTTCCCTTAGAAAGTCCTCCACGAAGGCATCCCTCCTCTTAGGCAGATAGCCCTCGAGGCTTTGCCATTATTCACACACACACACCTTGTTACCAACAATTTAACGTTAGAAAAAATGGTGTCCGCCGATAACATCACGGACGAAAACGTCGCAGAGAAAACAACGCAAGGCGAAAACGTCGTGCTACAAAACATCGTGGGAGAAAACATCGCAAAGAGAAAACATCGCAGTTCTAAAACATCGTGGTACAAAACATCGTCGTCGAAAATATCGTGGTAAAAAATAAAGTATCTACAAATCATCGCGTGACGATAACATCGCAGACATGCTTTTTTCAGGCTTTAATAACTGTAAATTCCCATAATGATTTGTGAGTGCAAGATGGAAAGAAGGATAATTTTTTACTTTCATATTTTTTATTAACTAATACATTTTTGCCGATAAAATAAGATAGAAACTTAAGCATAGAAAATTGATGCAACTTATAGAATTTTAAACCGACACAGTTAACTAACGAAGGAAAACTTTATAAATCATTTTTTATAAAGTTTTTACTGGTAATTTTTCATAAAAAGTATAATCTATAAGTTGCATTTAATTTTCTATGCTTATGTTTCCTTCTTACTTTTTCAGCAAAAATTTATTAGTTAATCAAAAAATGTGAAAGTAAAAATTATTATTCTTTACATCTTGCGCTCTCAAATTATTATGGGGAATATCTATTTACTGTTATTAAAGCCTAAAAAAAGCATGTCTGCGATGTTATCGTCATGCGATGATTTGTAGATACTTTATTTTTTACCACGATATTTTCGACGACGATATTTTTAAACTGCGAAGTTTTTGAACCGCTTTATTTTCGACGACGATGTTTTGTACCACGATGTTTTAGAACTGCGATGTTTTCTCTTTGCGATGTTTTCTCCCACGATGTTTTGTAGCACGACGTTTTCGCCTTGCGTTGTTTTCTCTGCGACGTTTTCGTCCGCGATGTTTTTGCCGCGATGTTTTCGGCTGTAACCAGAAAAAATAGAAAACTGTATGTAATCATTTGGAGGGTGTTTATTTTTTATTTTTTCCCCCGATGTGGAAGTAATAATTGATGAATTTCCAATTTCCTTAATAATGTTGCTGTTTTTGCACCGGAAAATTTTAATGCCATGCACTTTACAACGTTTTCACATCGTTTACGAATATTTCTATTTGAAAAACGTAAAAACATAGCCTTCGATGCATAGCTTGTTTACATGCGACATTGTGAAAGAAGAATAAACTTAAAAGTAGCAGACGATATTTCTCATTTCAAATAATAAGCATTTGTCGGAAATTTTTATTACAAAACCATTTGCTTTTTTTTTTTTTTTTTTAAATTCTTTATGAACATTTTTCTAAAAATGGGTAAACACCCTCTACAATGCATTCAGTATGTTTTTGTCCTGAATATTTCAATATAAAGTCTACTCGAGCTATTTATTCAAAGAATCTGGCGGTCCCTTCGTTGCTTGAAAAGCTGATGTCAAAAATGAATGTGAGAAAACTTTATTTGAAACTAAATGATTTGAATTCGTATATTTCTGGTACAAATAACTACAGTTTCAATTTGGGAATGTTAAATTAAACTGATGGGATGAATGATTGACAGATGACACAAATACCTTTCACACGAAACTGGGAACTGGACTATGACCATCAACTGAGTAAATAACGAGTTTTAGCCAAAACTATCCATCCTATCTCGTCTTTAGAATTCATTACATAATTACACATCGCTTCCTCAATTGAATGATTTCTTCTATTGTATTGTCAATGAAAGGTAAATATATTCCATTTTCTATAGAAATAAGAACTGGAAACAAGCATGAATACTCAACTATATTTAGAATTATATAATAATTTTTTGAAATCCAAAAATAATTACTTAGAACAAAATAACGGTTTCTAATAAATTCTAATGATTGATGAATGTTATTACAACCATTTCATATTATATTTAATTACAATTATAAAGAAGGTTACTGGAAAAGAATTGCTGAAATTATTACTTGAATGCTTTACTCGAAACCTGCTATGTAGGAAAATGATTCAA